TATACACACACCTCTATGTACACCATTTTTTTTTTAACAAAAACAGGATACATGATACTGTGTATTGTCTCTTGCTTCTATTATCATTTAACGTGGATGTCACATGTAAATCATAATTGTTTGTAAATCATTTCAGAGGTAAGGTATGTAACATCAAGAAAACAAACAACATTTTGGGAAGAGTGTGGACCATGGCAAACTGTGAGCCCATGCTTCTTTGTAGGGAACATCTGCTCCTTTACATCAGCTCCAGATGATCATTGCTATGTGGGAATTTAGGACAGTGTTATCATGTTCTCTAATTTTTCATGCAAAGGAAGTCTAAATTTTTATGTATAGTCTGAATGTTGAATGTTGACAATAACTTTCCCATGAGGATCAACATTATGAGGGTCAACTTTATATGGGTCAAGCAAAAATGGGTCTGCACTAGCATACATTCTGGTTTCCCTTTGGACTTCTGGCAGAAGTTAAATTCAGTGTCTCTCTCTTTTCTTTTCTTTCTTTCTTCTTTCTTTCTTTCTTTCTTTCTTTCTTTCTTTCTTTCTTTCTTTCTTTCTTTCTTTCTCTTTCTTTCCTTCTTTCAACTCAGTGTCTTTCTTTCTCCTTCCTTCCTTCCTTTCCTCCCTTCCTCCCTCCCTCCCTTCTTTCTCCCCTCCCCTCCCCTCCCCTCTCCTCTTTTCTTTCAAGTTTTGCTCTTGTTGCCTAGGCTAGAGTCGCAATCTCAGCTCACTGCAATCTCCATCTCCTGGGTACAAGTGATTCTTCTGCTTCAGCCTCCCAAGTAGCTGACATTACAGGTGTGCACCATGCCCAGCTAATTTTTTTGTATTATTAGTTGAGGTGGGAGTTTTACCATGTTGGCCAGGCTGGTCTCCAACTCCTGACGTCAGGTGAACCACCTGCCTTGGCCTCCCAAAGTGCTGGGATTATAGGCGTGGGCCACCATGCCCAGCCAAATCAGATTTTTCAAAGAAGTGTTGACAGACTAACTGCAGACAACCTCCTGTAACAGAATTTCAATGTGATTAGCTCAAGTCTATGGAATCAGAAACTCTATGAATCCAGCCAGGGATCTCACTTTTTAAACAAGAAGTTTCTTATATAATCTGAAATTTGAGAACCAACCATATAGCATCCTTTTTAAAAGATATGTAACCATAATTGAACTCTGAAGTATAAGAGAATCATACTTTGTTAAATCCATTTCGTTACTGGTGGATATTGAAGTTGCTGCCACATTTTTTTTTCCTTGGTACATAATATTTCAATAAATGTCTTTATGCATCATTGCTTTTATTTTTGTAGGATAGATTTCCTGAGTGAGGATTATTGAGTATAATTTTAGGGTCTAATAGATGTTCATTTTAGAGTCTGCTAGATATTGTAAGCTTACTTTAAAAAGATTTCAAAAAGTCATGTTCCAACCAGCAATATATATGAGTGCCCTTATCCTACGATCCAACTCTCCATATATTAGAAACTTGCTTCCAACTTGATGAGTTAAAAGCATTCTTTATTTTTTAAGTGTACAGTGTAATGTACTGATTTGGGGGGCAGTTAAAATTTTTTTTTAAATCAAGTCCCCCCCAGAAGATGGAGTCTTACTTTGTCACCCAAGCTGGAGTGCAGTGGCACCATCTCAACTCATTGAGAGCTCTGCCTCTCGGGTTCAAGCAATTCTCCTGTCTTAGCCTCCAGAATAGCTAGGATTACAGGCGTCCTCCACCATGCCCAACTAGTTTTTGTATTTTTAGGAGAGACAGGTTTTCACCCTGTTGGCCAGGCTGGTCTCAAACTCCTGACTTTGTGATCTGCCCGTCTTGGCCTCCCAAAGTGCTGGGATTATAGGCATAAGCCACGGCACCTACCTTTTTTTAAAAATCACATTTATTTAAGTTGTTTGCAATTCCTCTACTTGAGGGAGTTTACAGATACTCACCAGCTGAAATGACAGTATCGAGAGTAAGAGAGGGTACATCTACATAATATCAATTTCCTTGATACCCTTACCTTCCAGCCTCCACCCTCCTCCCAAATTTCTGCTACTTCTCCCACAGAGCATTCATAAAGCCACTGATTATCTTTCACCCTTCTGTGAAGGCTGTATGTTTTCCTTTGGAATTATTTTCACTTGTTCATTTTCTTGGCCAATTTTGCTGCTTAATTGTCTTTTTCTTATCTATTTGATGTAGCTCTGTGCAAACTAGATCGTTAACAATTTGCCTTACATACTGTTTTAATAAAACAAATTTTAGAAGTTACTGTTGTACTTAATACTCTACTGAATTTTGAGCAAATTCATTTGATTTTAATCATAGCAACCATTTAAAACAAGCAGCACCATTTTAGCTTGTTTCCTTTCACTTTCTTTAACAACATGCATTTTCAGCATAATGCCATAGTGAGTTAACTGTAGAGAAGTACTAATGAATATTATTTTACTTTATTAAAAAACAGCAAGGGAACTATAAACATTTAAATAGTTTTACATGCAACTAAAAACTTTCCAAACTCAAAAATGGACTTTCTTTGGAGGGGGTGGGTAGCTTTCTCTCAAGAACTCTTATTTCAAAATCCAAATGGGATTTCAAAATACAAGTAAATAAATGTCAAAGCCTCTTGGCCTCTGCTCTACCATTCTATGCCTGAAATCCTGCCAAAATGAAATTTTCCATTCAGAAGGACTGGCATTTACTAAACTGATTTTTAAAAGACATTCTCAAAAAGTAGTGGAAACTTTGTCCAGCTTTTTATGTTCCTGTCTTGTAGACAGAACAGCTGCCGCTGAAGATATTTTCCAAGATCTTACATTTACTGAAAAACAAATTTTCAGCCCTTCCACTGTCTTCAGTAAATGGGTCTATTGGTTTTTCCCAGTGCCAAGCATAGAAGATAAACAACTGTCAAACTAGAAGCTAGTGTCTCGCTGAGTATCAAGGCACAGAAAGGACAGAAGAGTGTTTCATTAAGTATCAATGCAGAGAAAGGACAGAAGAGAAAGTGGGAGAAAGAAAAGAGCGAGGTTCAATCCTTCATAGGCAAGAGGGACACATTTATCTCAAAACTGTATGCTGTTCCAACAAAACCGAGCTGTAGCGAGACTAGCTGCTTATTCACATGAGAACATCATTTTCAGTTACTATGAAGATCAAAGAGTTAAAAGATATGAATTCGTTTAAAGAACTCAAAAGGGAAAATACCGAGCCACTGCAGTACGTAATAAAATCTGAGGCTTACAGCGCGGCTCCTGAGAGTGCCAGTCCACTAAAGGGAGGGAGAAGGGGCATAGAGCTTATGGGGGCCTGGGAAGGAGTGAGGAGACTTTGGAAATGGAAACTAAAACTATCAGCCGGCAAAAACTCCCAATATTCCTAAAATGAAGGAAAAGAAAGCTTTAAAAAAGTAACAAGACACTGTAGGATACATCAAATGTAGAAATGAAAATTACAGAATGTTAAGTGAAATAACTGAAATCCATCTACAGTCGAACAGTTTGTCTTTTTAAAAGCAATGACTTGAAGCAGCAAGCAAAAGTTCCCAGTCCTTAAGACTCTCCTCACAATTCTTTCCTCTAGTGCAAAAGCTGCCTAACCAGTGCACGCCGGAATTATCCCCACGTGAGCTTTCCTCTAATTTTGGTCTTAATTTTTTTTCTCTCTTGCTATTACTCCGAGACCCCATCCTCTTTTTTCTCATCTAGTATCCGTTTCAGGGACGGGACAAAGAGGAGGCAGCGAGCTAAAAAAGTTTTGTGGTTTGGGATACTTGGGCCTTTGTTGTGTCATTTCCCCTACCCCTCCACGCCCCCAACCACGTGACCAAGAGAGGCCGGAATTTTGTGAATGGAGACGAAAGGTGGCTGTGGGGCGGGCGGGACTCCGCCCCCTTCCCCAAAGCGGCCAATCTCCTAGCGGAGCGCTGAGGGGTCAGCAATAAAAAACAATGAGCTGGAGATTTACGGCTCGTTATTGGCTGCGGAAAGAACCTCGCGGGGACCTAACCCGAAGCTCCGCCCTCTCGCGGTTACCCTGGATACCCGTCAGGCTCCGGCTGTGGAGAAGGTCTTTGGAAACTGTTGCTCAGATTACAGGGGCTGGGTTATTCCAGGAGTGCAGGGTGGTGGTGCACCCCTGTTACTGACCCCCTGCTTAGTTGCACCCTCAGAGAGTGCCTGTGAGGTTCACTGTTCCGGCCTCGGGGCCCAGGCTGTTCCTGGAATCTCTCCCGGGCAGGGGTTAAAATGTAGTTCCCGCTCAAAATGCTTATAGGTGCGCGCGTTGTGAACTCTGATTTAGTAGTTTCAGGGAATGCGCGGGGTCTGTCTTTGCTGTCCATAGTTATTGGTTGTTTTCCCAGTAATAAGTGTGATTTTGTTTGTTTCTTTGCTTGTTTTGGAAACAGGTCTTTCTCCGGCATAGGTCCGGGGTTGAGTGCTGTGCGCTCTTACACTCCATTTTCATGTGTCTCCATAACGTTCCATTTAAGGAAGGAAACTTTCAAATAGAAATTGAGAACTGCAGCACGTTTCCTAACGGGCGGAACAGCTGCCGGAAACGTCTTTTGGTCACCAGTTCTGGTCACATATGAATTTCAACAGCATCGAGTCCCTGGTCCCATCCCTGCGGCCTCCCGTCCCCTGTTGGACGCTGGCTCCTTAAAGTGACGCTTTACTGTACTGAGTCCCATAGGAGGGTCAGGGCAAGTGGCTTCAGAGATGCAGCGCTCACTTCTTAACGTCCTAGTTATTGTCCTTGAAACCCGAGCCGCCTCACCGCTCGCCCCCAACCCTGGGCTCTGGCTGTTTAAAAGCTGGAGAGGAAGTGAAAGCGTCAAGTACAGTAAGTGACACCCTCCGCCTTCGTGTATACATAACAAAGGCTCAGGAAACGTGCGGGTCTTAGGATATACGAGCCACCCCAAGCCCTCCCTCCTGCTCCCCACAACCACAGTGGACTGGAAGTACCTTTTCCCAGTGCACACGTAGGGACAATTTTGACTTACACTTTTTCACCTAGCTTACTCTGTTGTCCTCCCATCACAGCCTCTGCTAATCATCAATTCTGCATCTCCTAGATGCCTTCCTCATAGATTCTTTATGTTTCTGTCCCACGAACGACAGGATCTAATTTTAGTTGAGGATGTCTGTTTTAAAAAAGGTCTGGATAAACCATAATGGTGATGGTGGGTTTTGAAAAACGGGAAAAGAAATTGGTCCAAAAGCTTAGTGGGAATGAGGCTAGAGAGCGAGGTGGGCTCCTAGTCAGGGCAAGAGTCGAGGGGTTGGAGATTCTGAGGGGAGGGCGGCTGAATACGGAGGTAGGGGCATTGTGGATCGCGCCTCGAAGTGTATACAAGAACCGCACAACAGCGCTATAAGGAAATCAGCCCAATAGTGGACCTAACACCCCAATAATGAGAACTGGAGACTCGATACACATGGTTTCAGTATCCCCGGGCGCCTTAACAATAAGCTGCGGGTTTCCGAGGAAGTCGAGTCTCTCCGTGGCGTTTCCAGGCTGCGGACCCAGCGCCTACCCGCCGAGCACCCCCTAGGGCCGAGGGGCGAGGGAGACCCGCGGGAAGGGGCAGCAAGCCGCCTGATTGACAGCCCGAAATCTGATCTTGTGAAAGAGACGCGGAGCCAATGGGAGGCAGCGATCCATCAGTTTGGATTGGAGGCCCCTGGAGGAGAAGTAGAGGAAAAACCACCGAATTGAGCTCTGTCAGAGGCGCTTTCGGCTTTCAAGGGGGAAGTGCTGGGCAATAATTAATGTTTTTATTAAATTTGGAGGGAAGTTTTTGCAGCCTTTCGCCTAGCGTGGCCTTCAGGTGGGTCTTTCCAACAACTTTTTATGTCTCTCCAGATAATTGCATGGTTGTGGGTCGCAAAAACTATCCTGATGAAAGAGGTGTCTCCGTCTCTTTAGTCCCGTTAGGTGCAAAGCAAGTCTCGTTGATCGCCATTGCTAGTTTTGCACACGTTTGCGAATCAGAGCTGCCCGGGGTACACCGACCGTGCAGGGAAACATCGAGAGTGTAAATAAATACATCGCCTCTTGTTCGGATTTTTGCTACTACCGAAAATATATAAATTGTGAACTCTCTTGGTTCTCTTTGGATCCAGGTGAAGGAGGCGGTGTAGGGAGGGTTATTTTTGTGAATGGGACTGTCGGAGGGTAATTAGCTATGCAAATTCAAGAGCTTCATTCATGATTTTTTTTTTTTTTAAGCCTAAAAGCCATCTTGTTCCCCTCTAGGTTGATAGAAGTCCAGATCCCGAGGAAATCTCCAGCTAAATGGTCAAAATATAAAATACTGAGCTGAGATTTGCGAAGAGCAGCAGCATGGATGGATTTTATGACCAGCAAGTGCCTTACATGGTCACCAATGTGAGTGATCAGTTTGAAAGTTGCTGTTTATAAACTTGACTCCGACGGGGGTGGGGAGAGGCAGAAAATGAGAAGGGAGGGGGCACGGGGGTTGGGATTGCAGATACTTATCTGCTTTGTTGCCACTGTAGGGCGACTCTGCTTCTAGAAGCCCAGTCTTCAAAATGAGCTTACCTTTCAGTGATTTGGATAAGGCATAGTTTTGTTTTTAAGACCCCTTTTTTTCTGATTAAAGTGCCCAAGATGAGTGGAAGAGGAGGTGGAGGGCAGCAGCAGCTGCTGCACTCAAAGTTTTTGGCTGGGTTTGTCTGCCACATTGAAAAGAATGAAGTTGAGACAAATGCTGACACTTTTTGTTTATATGGGGTGTTTTTGTTTCTTATTCCCTTCCCCCCCGTTTTATTTCTCTCTCTTTTTTAAATTTCTCTACTCTTTTGGTTTTTTTTTTTGGTTTGGTGCGGGGGGGGGAGGGGTTGTCCAAGAGAGAATAAAATTCACTGTTTTAATCTAGCATTGAAACAGCCTAAAAACAACTTTAACTGTAAATGCTTAAGCTTGTTTTGATGCTGAGATACCATGAATATATGACTGATAAATAGTAATGTCCTAGGATCGGCACTGGGAAGCAACTCTCCCTGGCTGCTGAATTCTCAACCTAAGCTTTCACTGTCAAATAAGTGAGAAAATGAATATTACAGTTGATACTATGGACTTTTATTTTTCTATTCAGAGAGAAGATCCACTAGACTTGTGTATGCGTGCGTGCATGTGTGTGTACGTGTGTGTGTGTCATCTGAGGTTTACATTCTTTTAAAGGATTTTATCTTTCCCTTTGTAGAGTCAGCGTGGGAGAAATTGTAACGAGAAACCAACAAATGTCAGGAAAAGAAAATTCATTAACAGAGATCTGGCTCATGATTCAGAAGGTGAGGTTTGATTTTGGGCTGAATCTTTATTTTTTTACCTACACTCTCCACCCTGCTAAAAGAAAAGGAGCACTTCAGACTTTAAAATAATAAACTTTGAAATTACTGAATTTAAGACTTTAACTTGGAACAATTTACATAATGTGGCAGTTTGCATGGAAGAATATTTTATGGTCCTTATCACAAACTAATGAAAGAAGGAAATAAAAACTTAACAATGACATCCTTCTTTTAATCATTGTTTTGTGTTTAAATACCTTTGTCCATATGGCATATAACTCACCCCATTCACTAAGATAACAATTAAAAAATGTCCAATACAGTGGGACAAATTCAACAGCTATGTACACTGCTTACTTTCTTTCTTTCTACTTTATTGCAAGTTAAACAATATTAGTGATTGTTTGGTTTTCCACCCCTTTACACTAAAACCATCTACTGTAAACAGAATTTTCAAGGGCGATTTTGATGACTAAATTGTGAGGTCATAATACCTTGTTTATTGGCCATAAAATGTTCACTGAATCATACTTAAGGCCTACTTAATCATTATAATACTGTTTGGGAAATTAGTTTGTAGATTCTTTTTATGAACTCTTGGTAGGAAGTCAATATATTACAAATTATTGCAGCCATATGGAGACATTCATAATAAACTTAATATACTTCAGTTGGCAATTTTAATTAGATATACTGAATTCTGAAACTTCCTCAAATCTTCATACTATTTAGACACCTCCCTCCCTCCCTAACATGACCATATAGTTTTGAACTTGATGATAACCTAGTGCCAGAGAATTGTGTGTCTGACTTTTATAAACCTCTTATTGTAGTAATTTTCCTCTAAAAACTTGTATTTGAAGTGATTTCTTTTAGTTTTGAGGTAAAAAAGTTGAAAACATAGTATTTACAATTATACCATGTATTGTCATATCTTTTAGGTAAGATTCAGAAGATATAAATAAAATGCTTTTCGGTTTCCTAATCTTCCCCTCACTACTAGTTTAGCTGGAGTTAAATACATTTGAGAAAGATTTCAGTGAATAGACACACATTCATTTCAGCCTTTTTGTGAATTCAGGTAATCCTGAGCTTATTTAGTAAGTTGTTTGTTAAAAAGGAAAAAGAAAAGATGATTGACTATATTCTTTAGTTGACTAAAATAATTTCTTAAAGAGTTGCTTAATAGGCATGAAAAGTAGGCAGCATTATTGAGATACTGAAGTCATGCCTCCTATTTTCTTTTTATGTTGACTACATCTCTTGAAATTAAATTTATATTTAATACCAATTTCATGACAAACATTTCCATTTAATGCAGACTGCAGATTTGCAAATCTTATGTTTATGTCTTTGACTTGTTTTTTAGAACTTTTTCAAGATCTAAGTCAATTACAGGAAACGTGGCTTGCAGAAGGTAAGGCAAAAATTGCTTTAAAAGGGGGGAAAAGCAACTCTGGAAGGAAAAAAAAAAAGTCCTGAACTTGCTGTCTTAATATTCAGCCCAATTAATTGAGCTCTAAAAGAGCCACCTCATGTGTCATGCATACATTAGAGCCTCTGATGAGTTTGTCTTTGGGGACTCTGGGGCTGCACTACCCAGTGTCATCACAAATTACCAGGAGAAATTGCTTCCAGCTCACAATCACATCTGCTTTTGGCAAGAACTAATGCACCAAGACTTCAAGTTCTAAGCCTCTGTTCAGATTTTAATTGCAATTGATCAGGTTTATATTATTGTACCTCCAGAGACCTCCTAGAGCCAGAACCCGGCTGGCTTGCTGTTTCCTTTCGAGCAGCGCATATCATTATTTGGTGTTCTGGTGGAGGACTTTTCTGATGGCAGAAATTAGTTTCTCTGGGTTCATCAGGACGGGATGCTTCAAGATTTAAGTGCAAGTGTCTTCTTTCCACCTTGTTCACAACACAGAACGTTAGGTGTGTATCCAATACTTAGGAAATCTGTGGGTTTAAAATAAATGTTTGGGAGATACGAGGATTTTTTAAATGTTTTCTATGTGTAACTCTTCATGTGATGTTTGTTGAAATTGACCTTTGCTGTTTTGTCAGTTTTATTAGGATTTATTTAATATAGCAAGGATACATTTAAAGGCATTACTTTTATTTTAGATGACTTAGTGATAAAAATTTGTGTTGCGATCTGTTATATCTTTAATTGTATGCAACTTTATTTGTAGGAACAATGAGATATTGCTTCATAAAGCTTTGTACAACTTCAAAAATGCCTAATATTGAGGAACTTTTGTTGGCATTCATAATTTGAAATTTTTCTTTTGGATTTGGCAGAAAAATGTGAATTATTAGTTTTATGATGTGTTTTGTGGGAAATGCAAAGAGGAAAATTATAGATATTTAATCATTGAGTGTATAACTGTGTTACTTGGTGTTCACATTATATGGGAAACATGCAAGTTTTGGAACAGATTTTAAGATGGTTAAAAAGGAGAGAGTGCCTCGCTTTAAATGGAACCCAGGTGTTGCTGTAGCTACTTTGAGGCAGACTGATGTGTTTTATCGGTGATCTTGAATGCAGTTGATCAAGTTGCTGTTAGCATGTAAAATAAGTTTCTTTGTTTTGCTGATAGTCTAGTTCTCCAAAGAGCTTTTTCATTCTTTATCAATCTTTAAAGTTAAATAGCTTTCCTAATAGTCCTTTGAAAGGGTGATTGTATTTATATGTTAACGAAGGTAAGACTTACTGAAAGTTTTGGCTGTATGTAAAGATCATTTTGCTAGTCTCTGTAAATGAAGCTTATTGCAACAGATTACTTTTACTGCAACCTAAGTCATATTCAGATATAACTTTTTCATGGAAGATTTGCATGAAGATTCTTCATTAACTTATGCCTATTAGTTTCGCAAAGTGAAAGGTTGTGAGGACATTACATTTATGAGAGAATTATTTGCTTCTCCAAAATAACTTAAAATATCTATTTTAATTGTTCTGGAAGGTTTGTTGGTTCTTAGATGTTTAAATCTCATTGATTCCAAGTCAGTGCACTTGCTGGCAGATTTTGAATGTGCATAACAACTCTGTTTCTGGAATTTTAAAATGTGGAATCTGACAGACTCTTACCATTTTATAATCAGTTTCAGTACATTTTTTTTTTTAACTTTTGACTTGTTTTATGTCTTGTAGCTCAGATAAGTGATTTGAATAATTTATCCAAGTTTATCTTTTAAAACTCTGCAGGGAATAGTCTTTCCCCGGTATTATTAACATACCTGTAAATCAAACCTTAAGATTTAGCATTACAAAAAATAAACCTAGAAAATGATCAATGCATTTGAAAGAACATGGACTTTTGCTTAGAAAAGAATTATAATTTCAATTAAGTTTAGGAATTGATCATGAAGGTTTTATATGAATTCCCAGGTGGAGTACTATTTACAAACTATGAATAAGATTTCATTTTAGAATAATTTAAAAATATTCAAAATAGTTTACATTAATTTATCTTATGAAGTAAGCAAAAAGTTGTTAATGTGATATTTAAAATCTAATAGTGAGAAAAGAGATCTTTTTAAGTGCTTGTTTCTAGACTCCCCCTTTTTTTGGAAAATTGAATATATTATTTTGCACTGCTATTTTAACTTGACTTATCCAACGTCTTGAACAGTATCAACCAAGATGAAACCCCAAAATTACCCTAGTTTATTTGTAGCAAGATGTGTGCATTTATGTCTTTCTGCACATCCAGAAATTAAAACATTGCCAAATTGGCAGACTATGAACCATTTACGTATTTCTTTTTGTAAGGCTCTATAGCCAAGAAAGTGACCATGGAATTTTAAGACATCTTGACCCTTTTAAAAAAGATCATTGGCAATTAACCAAGTTTCTCCCATGGGTTAGAATTCCACCGGGAAGTTAAACAGGTCTAAAAACCTTGTTAGATATGAAAGTCAAGTTAGTTGTAACATGTCATATGATAATTGTGTTTTTGAAAAATTATGAAAGTCCTCAAATATTTGTGAAATGATATCTTAGCTATTTAGTTTGTTTTTTTTTTTTGTAAGACTATTCATAAATTTTACCCCAAATGCAACATATGGATTAGTCATGGTTAAATTACTGTGGATTAAAAAATTTGTTTTATTTCTAAGGGGAAGTTGGAACAGATAAGGCAGGACTGTTTGAGGGTGAGGATGGAACAAATATTTTCAATTCAGTGAAGTGCTCTCTAAAAATATGCTTGCATTCTACCAAGAAAATTAATTTTTATACAGAGATTTAAATATGTTTGTGGCGAATATAACTTTACATTAATATAATTTCCCAGGAACTAACACTGCAATATAAAGTGTATTTTTTTTGACATATATACACAGTTAAAAATAATCATCTTATTCTAAAGAATATTGAAAAGTTAATGTATTCAGTGACCACAGTAGCAGTTAAAAAAAAAAGCCAGGGAATATGCCAATTTTAAAATGTTGCCTTACCCACTTTGTTATAATTTTACTATGTGCAATTCTTTATTGATTCTTTGTCTTTTGAATTAGACTGCTACTGACAGAAAGGCTATTGCAGTTATTTGATCCCATGAAATAATGGGTTTAAATATCAATCCTATCAACATCATGGTGATGTCTTAGTCTTAACAACTTAAAACTCATAGTTAAAATGGAACCTCTTGTGGATGCAGAACAAAACGAGAAAGAAGTAAAAAATTGAGTTAAGTAAAGATTGCATTCTCCCAACTTGCTTCTTAAAACTCACCTACTAACACAACTTAAAGGGAATCATAGTTTTTAGCATATATCTAATGTAAATGTATAGCTGCTCTCTTGACTGTTATTTTGAGGTTCTCTTTCAATCAACAATATTCTGTCTTCAGGGTAAAATGTTTTTCAGTGGTTTTGTATTGAGTCAAGTTTAGTGCTGCCGCCACTCTTTGAGTCAGAGTTTTATCTCCGACACAGCCTTTCTATAGCAAAGGTTATTACATCATATGAATAATTTTTTTTCCTTTTGGTTTTATGTGACCTTCAAGCAACAGTTGGATTGACTTAAAAGTAGAGATGTCATTACTTTCTCCTCCATTCACTTTAATGGCTGATGCTAAATTTATATTCAAAATCATATGATCTTTCTTAAATAATATTTGCTATTGTTGTTCACTATGTATAATGTCATTCACAATATACAGTAGTCATAATACACTCATTTTTATTATTCAAAAATTCGACTTTTTTTTATGGAGCCTGTAATTGGTTGTGTGCTCATGAATTGTTTTTTCCCACTTGGTGCGATAAGGATAAAAGGCTTTAAAAACTACGTTATTTTATGTGGTTTACATAAAACATGAATTTAGAATTAAGCGTTGAATTAGAGAAGTTCATACAGTTTCTTACAATTGAACAGCAATCATTTCATGTGTATGTGGGCAGGGGGAGGATGGGCTATCACTTCTCTGTTGTATCAGAAAATAATCTAAAACATGAGAGAAAGACTTCTTATTTGAGTTCGATTTAAAGATAGCAGACAGAGTAAGTAGACTTTATTTCTAAACATTCACTGGAATTGCATACATTTTTTCATCCATGTCTTATTTATAAAATAGAAAAGGTTTTGTAAAAATAGAAAAATAGGATTTGGTATAGTGTACTGTAGTTTTTCCAGAGGATCCTAATAAATGAAACATTGCTGAGTTTTTCTATTTCAGTTAAAGGAAAGGTGCAGTTTCATAAATTTTATAGGGTAACTTATTCCCTTTGACTTCTGTGTAATGTTATAATCAAAAAATAATAATAATAGAGTCAGACCTCTGAAGCGTTAGATAAAATATTTGGCTAGAAGCAACAGCTAGTTGGCTCTGAGCTTCTCTTGAGTTTTCAAGGTACTGCCAGTCAATCCTAGTTAGGAACTTCAGCTGATTTGAGACTCGCCACAACTAAAACTTTACTGTTAGAGTAAGAATATAGAAATATTGAAAGAATGCCTTTATCAAGTATTAAAGGGGTTTTTGTCATTGGAAAATTGTCTCCTTTTTCTGTATGTTTTACTGTGTTTATACAATCATTTTAATGTTAAAAGTGGATGTGGTATAAAACCAGGCTTAGTGGACTCATGATTATTTCATTCCACGGCCTGTAGCTTCAGTTTAGGATTAAACAGAATACCACTCCATAAATGTGGATTTTTCTTGTTTTACTTCTTATTTGAAATAAAATTTAAATTTCTCACAAGAAATTTGTTTCTAACTCTTTGATTCAAAGAGAAATGCTACAGAGTTCAGCAAGCAGTTTACAGTATTCTTATGATAAAAATATTTGACTAATAGGCAAGAAAAATGAAACATTTCTGTAATGGTTTTTCTTTTCCTGTCTTTGAAAGCTACTTCGCATCTTTCTGTCTCCTTTTTTCCTGGTTTTATGTATGAAAGTTTCTGTAACAAGTTACTCTAAAGCAGGATGGGATATGTGTATGTATGTATTTGTGTGTGTGTGTATATATATATATATATATATATATATATATATGTATCTTTGTAAACTTGTCATTTATTTAAATATGTTTCTTTAATGGAACTGAGCTCTGAGACAGAGCAATAATATTGGTATGTTTATATTGCAAGTCCAAGTTTACTTGCTTTAGCTGCCTGGAAGGGTGTGACATGAAAAGATTGTGGTTGGGCCACATGGCTCATATGCTGGACTGTGTTTTTGTGAATGGAGGCAGAACTCCAGTTCTGCCTGCTTGTCTTGAGGAATTGCTGAGGAGATCAGCTGTCTCATTCACGGGCAGAAAGAATGACTCATACATCTTCCGCCTTGTTTGGCTCCAGGTCATTGTTACAGTGGATAGAACTGGTTTTAATTAAATATTAACCCCTTTTATACTTTGCTTTTGTTTTATTTGTAATTCTTCCACTTTTTCTTTAGCTTTAAAAGAAAATCCAACAGGCACATAGTTTGTAAGAAAAAGAGTGTTTTTGCTTGCCTGCAGCCAACCTTGGAAAATTTTTCATCGCTTACTTTTTCTTAAGTAATGATTATTATTTCATGTGAAAGTTAAAAATAGGCATAGCATAAAGGCAAGCTATTTTAAAATTACCCACCCCCAAGGCAATATTAGCTAAGAAAGGATATTCAAATTAAAAAGGAGAATTGGTGAGTCTGTGACATATAGTCATAATTAATATTTTTATGTGTTTATTCTGATAATATGTATGATATGTAGCAGAAAGAGAGAAAACTGTAAAACAATTTTGGATAATAATCTAGGTAAAGCAAATAGCTGAGAGGGCAGATCCCTTTTAAAGCTGAGATCCTGAGACTTCATGGCAACTTATCTATTAATGTGCAATGAACTGATAGAGCCACTCCAGCTATTACCAATAAAATCCACATGCTTCATCTTCTTGAAAGCATTTTATTGGTCTTTTGCTGTATACTTTCTCCCCTTCTCCTTTCCTCCTCTTCCTCTTCATCTTTAATTACATAGTGTGGGGAAACATTTTCATTCCCCAAAGGTGATTATATCAGGCACAGTTTATAATGGATAGTAGTGGAAAAAACATTACTTTTTTAGGTTGACCGGTATTGTTAATTTTCAACTTTGGAGTCTGTGTGGCTTGTTGCAAATTTTCAGGCAGCTGTAGTTTGCTCCTTCACAGAATTCCCCTGAATGAAGAAAAAAGGAAATGTATGATAGGAGTGTGGCAATACTCTGTCATATTTTCCTTGCCTAGATCCAACTTGTGTTTTTAGTTAACTTCTTTCCGTTTGCTCTAACTTGAAATTAGAGGTATACTTAAGTCTTTGTCTATTTAAGTAGCATGCTGCTTCATTTGCTCTATTCAGTTGCTGAAGATTAGCTTCTGTGAAAATGTGAGTCATATGTTTTTTGTTAAAATTCTGTAATATGTTCAGGAGTAAGTGTGAAGTATTTATTCAGTGTGTTAAAGAGTTAGAACAGGAATAGGATTTCTTATTTTTTTTACAAATTGTTAGTGTGCAGCTATTTTCTGTATATCTGTGAGGTATAATTTCTAGATTGTTCTACTCCTAAAATTTGGCCCTTTTTCTCCCCCCACACATATTACACCCATCAGTAACTCAATGCTGCTGTTGCAGTGATACATATTATGAAGTTGCAAATTAGCTTATGACACTACAAAAACAAACAAAAGACCTTTAGGACATTCATACCATCCTATTCAGTTACAAATATACTTTTGTTACTCACCAGCTATTTTTAACTTTTCCTGTAAAGGGATATTATATTTTTATTAGATTCTTGTAAATGCTGGCTTTTTAAAAGCCCAGTAATTGTTGTGGTTGATAAATTTGCATCTCAATAGTTATATCTCTTTAGCTGTTAATTCTGAGGGAAAACCAAAGCAAGGATATAATGGGAAAAATGTGCAGGATTCGATTCTGTGTACTTTCTGTTATTTATTCAATATATACTTAAAACACTTGTAATTTCTTTTGGCATGAAGACTTCTTTGAAAGCGCACCCTTCGACTTGTAATTTTTGCATTTTAGAACATTTTTTTCTACAGTGTCAAAAAATGTGTTAATAGCTGAGAGAATGCTAATGTACCAGTATTAGTTTTTTTTTCTCCTCTCCAGTAGTCTTTCATTAGAAGTAAAGATAATAAACTGAGCATTGTAATGACAGGTACTTTTTTGTGTATGACTTGAAAGACAAGGGTGCGTGGATAGAGGACTGGACAGAAGAAAATAAGGAACATTTCTTGAGTAGCTGGCATTGTGTTCAGACTGTTTCATTTAATTCTCACCAGAAAACGTGTATTATCACTATTAAACTGATGAGGAAAATTCAATTCGAAGAGGTTCAGTAACTTAACCGGAGTTGCGCAGTTAGCATGTCACAGAATTAAGATTTACAGTTCGCCGACTTTAAAATCGTTACCTTAGAGTATCAGATATTAGAGCAATACAAAGAGAAAAAAATTCTCCTTGTAATATATGCTGATCAAATAGGCATCAAGTTTTCAGTTAAAACTTGAAAAAGTTCTTAACTTGTTTGATTTCATTTGGTCGTGGGGATAGACTGCATTAGTAATAAGATTAATTATTGGTGTACAGAAAAGAGCTGTTAGAAGACAATTGAATGTCAAAATGCATACACTTTATAGCAGGCACAGTTATCAGATTGTTATGCTCTTCATAATATAAGCATAAATTTTATTCAGCCAAATATGTCTGTTTTGAAAGAATACTGTTGAGCTAATAAAAAACTTTACTTCTGGATATCGTATTCCTTTTTTATATAAATTTTTTTAAATGTGGAATTCCTTTTTAAGTAGATTTTTTTTAATTACCAACCTGAAGCATTTTCAAAAGAGACTGTTTATTTTGATAATCATTCCCCATCCAGAATAGGCTCGTTTAAAAAAGTTAATTAACAGCTATTTAAATATGACTTGGCTGGATAAAAAAGTTTCAGTATTATATAACACTAATAAAATAATATCAGCTAGTCAAATCACAGTTAATTAGGATGATAATTCATTATATTTTTATCCAATTAAAAGTAAGCTAACTTCTTTTTTTCGGGTGTGTGTGTGCGTGTGTGTGTGTGTATTTATGTGTACTTGTGAAAGCTTATTTTAGTAATATTTAGTTTGAAATAGGTTACTTCGATGTCTAAATCAACTGATGAAAACGTTTTAGAAGTGAAAAATGCACTTGTGTTTTGATTGCTGCCAAATGCATTAAGTCCTTGCTATTCAGTATTTTTCCTTTACTAAAAATAGGAAAGTCTTTTGACGTTAGGACTGATGAAATAGTGGTATTCTTTCTGTTAGTGATTAGTAGTTGCCAGGAAAATACTTTGAATGAAAAGAAGACACATGTTACTGTTTATTATTTTATTAATATGAATATAATCTTTGAAATACAGTACTTTATTATATGTCACCCAAATCAAGGACCATTCTTTCATTTAAAAGCTTTGTAGCATACTTTGGCAAAATTCAGGGCAAGCATTTTAAATTATTGTGTATTTTGCATGACAGAGAACATGCACCAGCAGACGTTTCTAAAAATGCGGAGGGACGTTTGTCATAACTGCACATCACTTAATGATTGTGTGGTTAATTTAAATGGGCTGCTTACACACTGGTAGTAGGTGAATTGAAATAGCTTTTGCTCCTTTCTTTAAAAAAAACTGCAGGAAATGAAAATTCTATAGCTTTCTTTATTTTGCATCTTTTATTTCCATCTGGCAGGTGAAATTCAGAGGGAATACACCTGCCATCCTCATATTTCTGACATATATGGTTCCTAGTTGACACTGATGATCCCCTTCTATTTCCCCTCATATGTAGTGTTATCAATACCATTTTAAATAAGAGCTCATTGGCAAATAATTATAGGTTTGGCATTGTGTTCAGACTGTTTCATTTAATTCTCACCAGAAAACGTGTATTATCACTATTAAACTGATGAGGAAAATTCAATTCGAAGAGGTTCAGTAACTTAACCAGAGTTAAGTTATTGGGAAGATCACCCTAAGAAGATCTTACCTGACAGATTTTACTTGACATTCCTTATGCTTTTGGCAGTTTCTTTCTTAATTTTTGTTTTTTTAATTTTCTTTTTCTTCTTCAGCTCAGGTACCTGACAATGATGAGCAGTTTGTGCCAGACTATCAGGCTGAAAGTTGTAAGTATAGTATGACTCATCTCTTGTATTTTCTTTGTCTTTCTGGTTTCCTTCTTTCCTGCTCTCTCTTTGGTTGGTTTTCATGTCTAGTGTCTTGTCTTGCATTGTACAAGCGCCTTTTAAACTTACAGTCATAAAATGATTTGATTTGTTAGGTTGTGACATCCGCAGAAACTCTATTTTGAGCAGAACCCCTGAATTTTGTATATCCGAAGAGAACTCCAAATAGTAGGCAAAGAAGACTGAGTTGATTAAAAGATGCTTTTGTTTTTTGTATTTGGTAAATATCTTTGGGAGGAAATAGGGTGTGATCCGTGAACGTGCACAGGTTTACTTCCAGTTTGCCAATATGCTTACTGAGAAAATCCTGGATACTGATGCAAGATAGAGTTAAAGTCTACTTGAGATTAGTTATTGTATAATTTATAAAAGATTCTGGACCAAACATTCATTGGCTTATTGTAGTATTTTTACATTCGTGAATTTATCACCTGCTTTTATTTAATTTTTAACCTGAAATTTTCTGCTTTCTGGTTGCAGTAACACCAATGGAAGTAGCCACTGGCTTCTCTCAGGGTTATTCCTCCTGTGTTCCTTTCCCTGATCCTTGCTCCAGGGTCTGTCAGAGAATGCATGAGGAATGATTCATGGAATACTTACTGTCCCTTAATCGCAGAGTGAGCGTTTTGTCTGTACAAACGTGGCTGCCTCGGGGTTTGCTGCTGATATTTATAATTTGCTATTCTACCAGCTAGCTGCTGTACTGACCTAAGGAGCAAATAGTAAGGGAAAGGGTGTAAATGCCATCTGGATTATAAAACTAGCCTAATGCATTTCTGTTTTGTTGGTGACATCTAAACCTGTTTTATTTCTTCAGACCATTGATAGTATCAGAGGAGGCAATATCAATAGTAACGGAGATGCTTGATATCTTACATCTTATGAAACCCATATGTTCACACCGTTATATCATAAATCTAATACAAATACCTGCAGTACTTCAAGTAACAGATGTTGGTGGGCAACGGCTTCAGCATTAATGTTTGGTATATTAAATTTCTCAGGCATAGAGGGTTGTGCAAGGTTTTGCCCAGATTCTTTAACAGGTTACATGATTTAGCTCAGCTTGGTTAAAAGAAATTACTGTGGGTAAAATATACATACCAAAAAATTGATCATTTCAACTATTTTTTAGTTTGTAGTTCAGTTACATTAAGTACATTCACACTGTAGTACAACCTTCACCACTGTTCAACTTCAGAACTTTTTTATATCCCAAACTGAGGTTCTGTACTTGTAAAACGGTAACTCCCATTCCTCTGCCCTCAGTCCCTGGTAACCACTGTTCTATTAGTTTTATTTTTGATCTGAGAAGAAAATTATATAATGCTGTTTGATGTCTAAATACTGGGATTTGGCATACGCTTTCAAGAACTTACTCAGCAACTATTATAGACGTTAATTAGAGACCCTTAGAAACACTCCCAGAAGGACGATGGCTCACACAAGTCCTCCCTTTCTTAATTAAAGTATGGGAAGAGAATGGTCCTATTTCCAACATTTCCCTTCCTGTGGGCAGTTGAATTCTTTCTAAAAGCTAAACATGTTGTCTGAGTAAAAGAATTGATCTCATTGAGTTATTTTACATCTAAAGTCATTGGTAACAATTCCAATACTATACCAATTGTCAGGGTAAAATAAACCACTTAGAGGTAATTTTTTACTCCCTTGCTTATGTGACCTCTTTTCAGCTTTTCTTATTCTTGAATATTTAGTCTCTTTTTGAGATGGAGTCTTGTTCTGTCGCCCAGGCTGGAGTGCAAAGGCACAATTTCGGCTCACTGCAACCTCCGCCTCTTGGGTTCAGGCTATTCTCCTTCCTCAGCCTCTTGAGTAGCTGGGATTACAGGCACACACCACACCGCCTGGCTAAATTTTGTATTTTAGTAGAGACAAGGTTTCTTCATGTTGGTCAGGCTGGTCTCGAACTCTTGACCTTGTGATTCACCTGCCTCAACCTCCCGAAGTACTGCGATTACAGGCATGAGCCACATGCCCGGCCCTACTAAGTTTCTTTGAACTCTCTTCTCTAGGTCACACTGGTGTGGTTTTTTTCCTTTTTCTTCTTACTCCTTTGATCACTCCTCTCACTCTACTCATCTTTCTTCCTCCTCTTTGTGGACCTCTTCTTTCCCTAGGGTTCTGTCCCCAAACCTTTCCTCTTATTTTACATGCACCATGCCAGCTTTGTCCCGAAGAACTTTCTGTGATGGAAATGACTATACCTGTGCCACCTGATACAGTGTCTACTAACCACATTGGCTGTTTAGAACATGAAATGTGGTTAATGGGACTGAGGAAATCAATTTTTAACCTTATTTAATTTTGGTTATTTTAAATGTAGACATGTCTGGCTCCTGGCAACTGTATTGGTCGACACAGCTTTGAAAAGCACTGTCTTCCACATTGTTGTCTCCAGCCTGGTTCTTCCCTCTGAAGCTGTCTACTGGACATCCTCGCCTGATTCCCCGCTAGTGTCCCTATGCAGATTAGAAAAAGGCAACACGTCTGGACTCACTCCCTCAGCCCTCGGCTGTGCATTGCACAATGTACCATTTACACACCAACTCCAATCTTTAACGCAATGCTCCACAGACAATTTACACTCAGCCACATTGAAATCATGCTTTTTCCTGACCAACGTTGCTCTTTTACTTCTGTTGCCTTTCTAAGTTAGTGGCATCAACATCCAAACTGAAATCCTGATATTATTCTCAGACAGCTCAGTTCTTTACCATAAACCTCAAATTGGTAATCAAGTTGTTTATCCTCCCTTTCAAAACTATCTTACTTTCATGGCCTCTCCTTCATCCCTATTTCATTGCTTTGATTCACACACCCACATTCTGCCTTGATTGAACTTCTGAATCAGCCTTTTGGTTGGTTTTCTTGCCTTTGATTTTCCCTCCTTGCGAACCATTAATGAAGCAGTGCAGTAGCATTAACACATAGCTCTTTGGCCTTGTTAATTTTCCTCTTAAACTTTCTGCAGGACAAAGTCCTATTTCTTTAGCTGTACAGAAAATTGTTCTATAACCCAGACCTTCACTGTCTTTTTGACTTTAACTCTTGCTACTCCAGTACCCTGTCTTTTCCTTTCCTCTGTACTTTAACCCATCTAATTTTTCAATTATCTGGGCAGATTGAGCTGTTTTAAGTCTCTTTGCCCTTGCATATGTTCATTTTGCTTTAAAAGTTTTCATTTTTGCTTTGCGGTCTGGTGAAACTCCTATTTCAGAGTCACCTTAAAGTTCCCCTCATTGAAGGCTTTCTCAGCCTTTTTGGCCACCTTTACCCTACAGTTAGCTGGACTGCACAGCATCTTGTATATTGTATTTATTATATTATAGTATTTTAGATACATTTGTGTCTTTGATAAGATTGTGAACTTCTTGCGGGTGCAAGAAGCATGTCACAGTCAGCATGGTTTGCATGTTATAGAAGAACAATAAGTAAAATTACCACTGTTTTCATGATCACCTTCTTAGTGCTTATTTCCTCCGAAGATCTTCAGAGTCTTAATTCCTTTCTTAAGGTAGAAACATATGATATGCCTTAAAGTCGCATGTATAGCCTCATTCTGGGAAAACCTACTGAGACCATGATAGTTTAACCAAATGTTTGTTTTCAGAATCGTGAAGGTTTATTTTACTTCAATTAGAGAATATTTGCAGTTTAACAAATGTGGCTTTGGGACATGTAAATAAGATACATAATAATTACAAAACCTATAAACAGAGGCAAAAATAAATCTGAAATAGCCTAAGTTTTAAAAAGTGGGGATATATCTTATTTGAAGTTTTCACAGACATGAAGGACTACTATTCATATCATAGTGACCAGTTAATTTCCATATTCACTGAGGAAAGGAGAAGAGAGAACTGATTTAACAAGAAGAATAGGGCATTTGTACTAGATGGTAAAGAGGATTTCTGGCTGCAGAAGTTTATCAAATATTGGAATCGAGAGGTTACGTGGTCTCCAAAATGCCTTTAAACAGATTTTTGATTCTCGTCTGTCTGGGTATGCTTAGTGGAGGCAGAGGGATCCCATCTCCAGAAAGAGAAACTCCATCCCCTCTGTGTGGCCTGTCTATAAACTCTGTGGGCTTATTTTAAAAAATAGGCCAGGCGTGGTGGCTCACGCCTGTAATCCTAGCACTTTGGGAGGCCGAGGTAGGTGGATCACGAGGTCAAGAGATCAAGACCATCCTGGCCTACATGGTGAAACACTGTCTCTACTGAAATATAAAAATTAGCTGGGCATGGTGGCATGTGCCTGTAGTCCCAGTTTCTCAGGAGGCTGAGGCAGAAGAATTGCTCAAACCCAGGAGATGGAGGTTGTAGTGAGCTGAGATTGTGCCACTTGCACTCTAGCCTGGCGCCTGGCAACAGAGCAAGACTCTGTCATAAAAAACAAATGTGAATAATCAGATTTCCTTGCATACCTCGATGAAATAAGGTGTTTCTGCCTTAGCTTTTGCTTTAGTCCTTTGGTAAATGAAGGTTAAGAGGATGAAGAACAGAATTTTGCTCAACACTGGATTTGACTGTAACATGTTTAAATGTATGCAGAATAATAGAGATCAGAGCATCCAAAAATTGTGAAAATGAGATTAAACCATAACACTTGGGAACTTTCTAGAAATTTTCCTGAGCATTCTTTATTTTTGTTTATAAAATATTTCTATTGGAAATGTGGAATCGAGTGATGGTTTACTATAGATTGCTAACGTTTGAAGGATTCTAACTTTGAAGCAAGTATAGGCATTAGAAACAAGTGAACACAGAGCCTGGGCATGGTGGCTTATGCCTCTAATCCCAGCACTTTGGAAGGGATTAGAGAATTCTCTTTGAAGTAGAGAATCTCTTGAGCTTGAGAGGTAGAGACCAGAGTGGGCAACATAGTGAGACCCCATATCTATCAGAAAATACAAATAA